CAACTGGCATAAGCGGGGAGTTTAATTCGGTCACATTCAATGACAATAGTGGAGGAAGTGGAGGCAACACTGGGATAAGACAGGAAACCATTTGTGGGGGTAGAAGCACAGGTTGCGATCGACCTAGTAGCTCATTAGGGGTTAGAAAAAAGGGCGAATCCATGAAGAAGAAACCTACTACCACTATGAAAATAGCGGATGCACTAAGCAGGATAGCTCAAGCAAATGAAAATGATTCTCAGCGTGAACATGAAGAGATTTCAGAAGCATGTGCTAGGAAGCTAGAAGAAGAAGCACATGCTTATGAGACATTAATTGCGGGAGTCATGGAGCACCTTAATGAAGTTGATGAAATTGTTGATGATCCTGATCTGTTTGGCTGGTGCACAACACTCCTTATGGATAAGCCAGCTGTAAGGGAGGTGTATGTGGCTCTGAAGAACAAGAGGGAAAAACTACTGATCTTCTTAAAGCATGCAACTAAGGATTGAGACTTCATTTGTGTTGCTTATTATAGTATTTGACTACTTTTTGTGTTGCTTAGAAGATGACTGTGATAATTTGTATCTATTTTTAGGAATGATGTAACCAGCACTATTGTACTATGTGACTACTGAATTTCTGTAGGAATTAAACAACTTATTTTCTTGTTAAATGTTTAGTAATTTCATATCAGGGTTTCTAAATTTTACGTCTATGTGCACAGGACAAGACAAAAAATGGCTGATGAAATTAAAATTGTGGAAAAGTATCGTAAACGACGGAACAAACGGGTTAATTAAGTTGCAGTAGTGGTTGATGGATACACTTCTCTTCATTTGTGTAAAGAGCACCAGCATACAAGTATTTATACAAGCAAGGCATGAGTAAGGGACGTTTTACAAGGCCATTCCACCCGTTGTTATAACATGTTTAGGATGGAAAGGGAAGTGTTCTTCAGTCTTTGCACAAAATTGCAACACCATAGTCTAAGGGAAACTAGAAATGTTGGGATACATGAAATGGTTGCAATGTTTTTAAATACCGTTGGCCATGCGCTTAGTAGTAGGATGCAGCAAGAAAGATTTCAGCATTCAGGGGAGACAATTAGTAGACATTTCCATAATGTCTTGCTGGCATGCTGTAGAGTTGCTATGTCCAATATCAAACCAAAAGATCCAACATTTCAGCATTTGCATACAAAAATATGGCCCGGTGGTCGATACTAGCCCTTTTTCAAACATGCTATCAGAGCAATTGATGGAACACATATTTCATGCATTGTTGATGCAACTGAGCAAACAAAATTTATTAACCAAAAAGAAGGAGTGACGCAAAATGTAATGATGGTTTGCGATTAGGACATGTGCTTCACTTTTGTATTGGCCCGATGGGAAGGTAGTGCGCATGATGCTCGTATATTTGACCACGCCCTCACAACTCCTTCCATGAACTTTTCCCATCCGCCTCAAGGTATATTTTAAATTGCTACAATTTATTTATGCTTAACTGTTAGAAAACAAATTTTATTGACACCAATCATATATTTCATGTAGGCAAATATTATTTGGTGGATGCTGGCTATCTGACACCCATGGGATACCTTGGTCCCTACAGACGTGAACGCTACCATCTCCCTGATTTCTGAAGGTCATGTGTACTTGAAAATGAGAATGAGGCATTCAATTATTTGCACTCAAGTCTACGGAGCACTATTGAAAGAACTTTTGGAGTTTGGAAGAGTAAGTTTGCAATTTTATGAAACATGTCGAGTTATGACTTTCCAACACAGGTTCAAATTGTTTGCGCCACGATGGCCATATATAACTTCATTAGATCAACATCCATTTCTGATCCTAGTTTCATTCAGTTTGAACAAGAAGGTTCTTATGCAGAAGAAAATAATGATGATGATGGAGTTGGATCTTCACATATACCTTCATCAGTAGATTCTTCACATATACACATTAATTTTTTATTATTTATATTATTTATGCCTTATTTATTATGTTGCCAAAATATATATTATTAACAAATTTATTACTTCAAATAAACATATATTATGAAATATGTCTTATATGTAATTATCATTTAAATTTATGTCCTTTTTAGTAATTTTTATATATGAAAAAGCACTTCTGACAATAATTATTCAAACACTTTCACTTTATCAGAATCACTTTTTCAAAAAATCTATTCTCTCCAAAATCTATTCTCCAGAAGCTATTCTGCAAACCATGGTTTTGCCTCATCCAAGCACCTCCTTAGTTGAGCAAAAAGAAGGTGATTCTACTTATAAAGCTTAACCAAAAAATTTCACATCTTTATATTATTCTTCGAATTATATCAGCATTGAATGGTAGCTCATGGTTGAGCACTTGATAGTAATGTGTAACATTGTGTTTGTATTATTATTAATTTAGATATGTTATGTTTTAATTTGGGATGTATATTTAATCATTTAGGATGATGTATCATGTATCCAGTATCCTCATATTAGTATTTTGAAATGTTTGGAACTTTGGATTTCATATTTTATTTATGATAATTTCTATATGCATACTTTATTTTAGGTGTTTAAGAATTAGAATAAATTTTATTAAAAGAAAACAAAAGGCATAAAATTTTTTTTTTAAAAAAAAAGCAGCAGGTTGGCGAGTTAGCCTTGCGGGCTAGGTTGGAAAAATATCAGCCCACCAAGAGTTGGTCTTTTTAGGATCGGCCCATCAGTCCTTAAACCCGTCACGGACCAACTCATAGATGGTAATTAGGATGTTTGGAAAAAAAAATCAAATTATTCTATGAAAGATATGAGGTTTACATTTTTTGGGGCCCAAAACAGAAAGGCACCCCAACCCAGGAAAAAAAAAAAGTAATGGATTGGACATATGTGAACATAAGAAAGTGGAGTTTCGTTCTTAGAAATAAGAATTACACCCGAGAAAAATACTCCTATTTAGTATCCAACAGTATTTTGAACATAATTGCCTCTAATAAAAAAATATCTATACTTTAAAAAAGAAAGAGAACCAGATATTAGTGTGAATTATTGTATGAAGCCTTAGAAATAAGTTAAATTTTTCATTAGTGTTCATAAAATATATAGAAAAGTCAACTCATAAACAAATGTGTCCATTTTCTTTAAACCTTCTTAAAGGTAGTCAGGTTTATAAACATCAATAAACAGTAGTCATTAAGTAGAATTAGAAAATAAGTTCCATGAGTTGCATAGAGTGATAAAATTTAATAGTTATAAAGCATTAAAAATGTATTAATTAGGATAACATAAATATCAATATATAAGTACAGAATTTCATTTTAAAAAAAAAGAAACAGAAAAAAGGATGAATAATGTGGATATATAACCATTTAATTTTTAAGCATCTGGACAAGTAATAACAAGGGAGAATCCCACGAAAATAAGTTTAAAATAACTAAATCCTAGAAAATTTTACAAAATTGTATTATTGTTTGCAAGTCCAGTGTTAATAAATCCTATTAAAGTGTTGTTACAAACCTAGTTTAGGATTTAATAATTTCAAGATATTTTTTGTGAAATTCTCCCTAATAACAACTGTAATATAAAGCTAATAAAACATATACAGAGCACTAATGTGTGTGTATATAATAGTAAGTCTTATCTCACTAAATAAAATTAATTATGAATATTTATATGTACATAACCACACAAAAAGCTCTTACCATATAAAATGCATTGTTGAGCGCAACAAAAGTGACTTAGCTAACAGTAATGCAAGTCCTCACCCACAAAGGCATGAACTCAAATTCCACTATCAAATGTGAGAATTTTGTTAATAAATAATTTATAAATAATTCCATGTGTTCTTAAAAATATTATTCACCACATTTCATATTTTACTCTATTATTTTAATAATTTTATTATCTATATATCAAAGGGAAAATCCCTTAAAAATACAGCTAAATAACTTAAATTCTTATTTAGGTCGTTAAATTTATCAAACCTCTAATCTAGTCAAATGACCTAAAGAGAGATTTTAAAATTTTATGAAATGACTTTAATGCGCCTTTCATTAGAAACTGAAAAAAAAAATTCTAAATTAGCATATTTCATTTTACAATTAACACATTTCAATTTTAAACTAACAACTTTCTATCTTTATAATACATTTACATGAAGTCATTAATAAAATTTTATTTATTGCAATACAGCTTAAAAAATTAAAAAGTTCAATTACACAGTTAACAAATTGCAGTTCTAAATAATTAAAAGCTTTATATCTCCATAACATACTTACAATAAGTCTTTGAATAAAACTTGATCACAATATAATTTTCAAAATTAACATGTTCTATTTCACCGTTGATATTTTTCGATTCTAAAACAACTTTTTATCTCCATAAAGCACTTGTAATAAGTTTTTGAATAAAACTTAATCACAATATAACTTTGAAAGTTAACATGTTCCAATTTACAATTAACACGTTTCAATTTTAAATTAACATCTTTTTGTCCCCATAACATATTTGCAGTAAAACTTGATCACAATACAACTTTAAAAATTAACATGTTCAATTACATAGTTAACAAGTCTTAGTTCTAAATAAACAGCTTTATATCTGTATAACACGCTTGTAATGAGTCTTAGAATAAAACTTGATCACAATACAACCTTGAAATTAACACGTTATATTTCACAATTAATACATTTCTACTCTAAATTAACAACATTCTATCTTTATAACACACTTGCAATGAGGGAGGAAAATTTAATATAAAGAACTAACTCACCACTACTTACTTGGTCGATTTTTCGATTTGCAATAGTATATGCCCAGTTTCTCTCATTCAAAGTTCTTAGACAACACGAGAATTATACAAATTCTCATCTCTCTATATTTTTAATGAAAGGGGTATTAAAGTTACTTTATAAAATTTTAAATTTCCTTTTTGGGTCATATGATTAGGAATTTGACAAATTTAACATTTCAAATAAAAATTTGAATTATTAAAGCATAGGGATTTTCCCTATATCAAATATACAGATAAGAAGTGGCACAAGTTATATAATCTATAAATAATGTGACTTGTTACATACTTTTTGCAATCCCTCATCTAGTTTATAACATGACTTTGTTATATAAGGCTCCATGCAATGCCCATCATCTAGTTTCTGTAATTTCTAACAACTTTTTCATGACTCATAACTCCACTTTAACCTCATTCCCTAACAGATTTCACCTGAATTGTTTATACCCAAGAAATTGTAGTTGTGTACATGAGCAATTTACCACCTGATCATCATCATTTGATAATGATGAATATTGAGGTGAAGTGAGACACACTAGATCTTCAAAATGAAGATAACAAATAAAACTTTCCTTTGGCCACATTCTATGCCACTCGTCTCCTTGCAAGTCTGTGCCCTGCTCCTACTAATAATCCTTTTCCTATTGCTCCACCATGAATACCCAAAACCAGAGCGGCAGTCCCTCCTATAACCATCCATTTCCAGTCTATGCCATGATCCTTTTGTTTTGCATCTCTGATCATGACTTCACTTTTCTCTTCCTCTTTATTTGCAGGTCCTAAAGAATCCAAGTTTTTCACAGAAGAAAGCTTTGTGGTTATCCTTGCCGTCATTGCACATCTTGACAGAGAAGTCTCGGTTTTCCGAATATTCTGATAAGCTCTCAATCCAGAGTGCAGTTTCTTGACAACTCCAGACATGATATGGCGGGCTCCTAACTTCTCCACATCTTTTGGAATCCCCATGTCTTCATAGTGTAAAAGGGTTACCTCGCACGCGGACAACTGACCATCTCCTTTGCGCGATTCAACTGCATCAAGAATTGAAATGCGGTGAATGAAATGAAACACCAAATCTACTAGCAAACACATTATTGCCAACAATAATTTAAACTTCCAAATCTTACCAGGTCTAATGACCCAACTAGAAAAATAGTGCTCTACTCGTCTGGGCTTGTCACGTTTGGGTAAACTTGGATATGGGACCCCCTATAATATGCTCCCAAATGGTAAGAAACTTCAAGTTTTGGGAGGATAAGTAGTAAAAGCATGCTATATGAATAGCGAAAAGAATTAAGAGCAGTGGACAGTACTGTCAGTAAGAAATTATGTATGCCAATATGAATGAGCTAGAAATTTTGTGATTGATGGAGGGATGATTAGAACAGGGATAAAATTAAGTGAAGGAGACAGAATAGCATCTGATCACTAGCATTAAAACTTTTGCCACTGATGGAGTGCCTAGTGCAATCTCGATCATTGCCTTACATCATTGAAAGGTTGCTACATGCAACTAAATATTAGAGCCATACCAAACAGAGGATACAGAAATAAGAGGATGTGTGGCAAGAACCAAGAAATACTAAAACGGAAAGTTTCGCCACTGAAGGAAATATAGGTAGTCCTATAGAAGAAAAACTTACATGCAGTTTTTCATATATTCCCTTCATCTGTCCCTAAATACAAGTCCAAACACAAATCTCTATGTGTAATTAATACTTATTTCCAGAAATACCCCTAATAGAAAATATCAATTTTCTATCCCACCCTTAAATTTTTATAAGTTGATACACTCTTTTCCATGGCATTTTGTCACCTCCTCGATTTGTGCATTTTTCCATATTAAGACTTGTGTTACTGGAAGAAATAAGTACTGTTTACCTTATCAAAACAAAAAAAAGTACTATCTACTATTTGGTTCTCTGACTAAAATATGACGATTGTATGGTTTTAATACACACAACTTTGTATTACATGATTGGACTTTTTTAAAAAAAATTTCAAATGTCATAATTTTATATAATCCCTCCGGTTCACAATATGTCACTTTTAAAAAATGGCTTGGAGAGTAATTAATACTTATTTGTCAATTTTTTCCATGTAACTAATGTTTAAATGTAACTCTGTGTTTATCTCTCTCCTTCACAACCTCATTTAATATGGGTAAAATAGGGAAAAAATTTCAATTTGGGACAGATTTAATGAGTTAGCCACCTACTTTTGATACTGATAAATTAGTTCAAGTGATTTATATTGTGAGACCGAAGGGAGTAACTTGATAGCAAGGATACAAGGAACCATACTGTAATCTTTCGATTAATTCTACATATACAGGACAAGCATGTAGAAGTGTCTCAATATATCAACCCAGCCACATAAATTATTTGAAAAAACCAGACAACATTTATCACCAAAGAAACTGCACTAAAATTACTCAAAAGTCTGAACTTGCCACAGTTTAACTCAGTTGGTAAATTTTAGTTATCTAAAACTTGTAGTAACTAACATAAACACACGCTTGTAGAGTCTAAAATCCATAATCTTCCAATTGACTTAACTCCTGTCATGAAGTTAGCCCAAAAAGACTGTCATCGACCCGAGAGAGAGAGAGAGAGAAATGAATTATATATTCATATTACTTCTCTCATCTTCCTTTTACACCATCCCCCCCCAAAAAAAAAAAAAAAAAACAGCACGCACGCACGCACGCAAAAGCTTCCAGTGGAAAGGCAGCCCTTCATAAATTTGGATCTCAATTGACATGCAATTCATCTCTAAGAGAAAGAACGTTGTGTCGTTTTTCTAATAAAACTTCGACTATATTATTCTCAGACTATATCACCTAACAAGATGGCAGGATCCCGAATTGTTCAACAGTTACTTTTATTTTCCATATGATGATAATCAATGCCGCCATTTCCTATTGCTTTGAGTATAAAGGGTGCTGATTTAGTTGTTCTTCGTAAGAACTATGAAGTCCCTCAACCTGGAAGTGTCTTTGAATAAAAATAGTTTTTAACTCTAACAATTGAATAGTGGCAGGGGTTTGCTATAGTGATAGGAAGAGAGAGGAAAAGGTCATAGAATAGGAGAAAATGTTGCAACAACTGCTACCTTTGTAACACAATAGAAAGTATTCCCAGACTCCCATATTCTTCGAGCAATTATATATTCTCGGTCACTGCAGAAGAATGGAAACTACAAATAGAAAGATAAAATCAGGAAACAGTGATTGCATTGAACAGATACATAAGCAAGCATCCTGTGCTAATACCTTTTTTATCCAATGGGAAATCACGATCCCATTATGGGGGCACTCCTCCAGTACTTTGCAGTATGCAAGCATAGTATCCCATTTAAGGCGAAACTCATCATCCCAGAAGAAATCCCTTACCAACTCTGGAGCTGCATCTTCAAAGACCGTTTTACTCTGGTAAACTAGAGGACCTGTCTGATAAGAAATTCAACATCAGACGCAGAAATAATTCTAATGTTTGATTAATATATATATGTAAGTAAATGATAATTAAAAATAAAAATCATCAATCATCAATCAATATATATATACATATTTAGCGGCTTGGAACGACTACAAATATTAAGCAGCAATAGATGAACTTCATAAATCCACTTTCAACCAGGAAGAAAATGTGATGTGATACAAAGACTATAAAAATTCCTCATATATTGAGTGCATGAACGTTGTCATCTAATAATAGACAAGAAATATACAAGAAATAACTTGAAAAATCAGAACCAACCTGAGGTTCGTGACGCCAAACTTGGTATGACATATTTGGGGTTGAAATCTGCATCAAACTTTGCCAGTTCATCATTCCATTCTTCCCTTCAAGAAGAAAAAGGAGATGTTCCAAATCATTCTGATTGACAACATCCTGCTCCTTCTCTCCAATTTTAACACCAGGCCTAGTAAATGTCCAATAACCCAGTTATGACGGGAATAAAGAACTTCATTCTAACATTCTTTCACTAGTAATTCGAGTACAATATATTAAGCAGCTATTCTGCAGATAGGAAAATTAATTAAAAATGGATAAGAAATTGATCAACAACAAGACCTCAATACACTGATTAGAGTAATATAGATGATGATCGGTGACTGACAACAAAGAAAATTCACAATCTAACACCCAAAAATATAATAAGGATGGCTTAAGCACAGATAATTCAAACCCCAACGTTTGACTAAAAACTGAATTAAAACATAGTAACCAATAAAAGATATCGAGAATTTAGAACCTACCCAGCAACCTCACTGCTTTCCTCCTCCGTCTTGGATATGGCCGCCGCCACATTCCCTGATTGCGAGGGCGACTCAGCTTGACCTTTGCCATTTCCTTTAAAATTCGACCAAATCGTGCGGCAAATGGAGAACGCAGATAGTGCTGTGAATGCCAACCAGAGCCGACGAGCACCAAAGCCCGGCGGAGCCGTCCAGAGGAACCGAAACTTACTCGGAAAACCGAGGAAAACGATACCAGTCCATCGAGGCCGCCACGACCAACCGATAACCAAACCGATCATCACAGCAAACCAAATCGGAACTGCACATAGCAAGATGTCAACAAGTGTCTCGATTATCGAGGGTTTTTTCAAAAATTCCACAAGATCGAAGAAAGACCCGTCCATTTCTCCGATTCAGGAAACTTTCCCTCCCTCATACAGAGTAAGAAAAGAATCGAATCCAGCTACATGGATCGCCCCTTTGGCAACGACAATGACTATGCCGAGGGGAAGAATTTTCTAGCAAGAGAAAGAGGTTCCCTCTCCTAGAGAGAGACAGCGGAGTTTGGCGGGATGACGACGAGATGACATGTCAGAAAATCGGACCGTCGATTTCTTGGTATTTGAATAATACGAGCAGGTGAGTGATGTGGCACTACGCGATCACCAAGTGACCGTCGACAGATGGCGGGTTCGTTGTTCGATCTGATTATTGGGGGAGTGACATGCACCGCGGGAACTATCGCGTGATATATGAATGACGATAAGACAACTGTTAAAGGATTAAATTATAAACAGTGTTCGTTCAAACTAGACGCCGATTCAGAAGTAATTGTGAGATATTCATTTGGTCAACGATAAATTGGTTTGATGATCTTCGAAATGCAAAGTTGCCATCAAATAGTGGTTATTCTTATTTACCTTTTCCCTTGTTTTTTTTTAATTAGAAAAATGACATATAAAGAAGCTTGAAAATATAAAATACTAATTTGAAAAGCTAAGTAAATGTAATGATAAAGAGAAAAGTCTTTTCTAAATTAAAATTTTACTAAATATGCTCTTTGTCTTTTTTTTTTTAAAAAAAAAACTTCAACCCCTCACCGGTGTCACCGATGTGGTGGCTGCCGGTGAATTTTTTTTTGCCACAGTATTTTTTTTTTGCATGCGAGAATATTAGTTTAAAATGGCGGGGGGAGGGATTTGATCCCACAACCCTTTTGCCATTTGAGCCAATAAAAGACTTCTTAACTTTACAAAGCAAACAAAAATATAAGTTGACTCTTTTACTGTAATTCCAGCCCATAACAATAATTTACCTAAGGATGACAAGTCTTAATTGAGAAATAACAAGTCTAAATTTGATATTAACAAAACAACTTTTCTTGATACATAATAAGAAGTAGCATATACATTAATTAAAAATGACCATAATTTATTTGAAAATGATACGTCTTTACTAGAAAATGACAAGTCTAAACTTGAGATTAACAATGTGTCTTTTCCTGATACATAACAAGAAATAGCATGTACATTGATTAAAAATGACCATAATTTATTTGTCATTTTCCAATAAAGACGTGTTATATATATATATATATATTTTTTTGATTTATTTCTAAAGACATTTATAATATTATATTTATAAAAAAGACTCAAATCTCTAATTTCTGATTTCTAATGTTTTATACTCTGGGCATTTCCATATTTTGTGTATATATGGGAGAATTATAATCAAGTTTTAAGTGAACGATATAATTACCCCATAATCCATTGATAAGTAAAGAGTAAGTAATGACACGTTTTAGATTAAGGAATGACAACAGGTTTAAGTTGATCACTTGTTATTGAGACTTTTTAATAATTAAATTTTTTTTAGAACCTTTTGGTAATGCTCCCTATATATATTTATAATATTATACTTCTTTAATCACTTTAACTTATGAATTTCTCAAGTTTCTGTTGTAAATTTTTTCATATTTTTTATGAATATAAACCCTTTTCAAAATTCATATGCTGTACACATATCTTGATCACACATAATATGAGGGGAGAAGAATTGCATTCTAAAAATCAGCACATATATGCAAGCAGGTTTTAATTATTTATTTTCTGTGTAAAATTTACAAACAAACCTCAAATTACATTTAAATCACATTTGTAGAATTATGATGCATTGAAAATATCGTGCTCTTTTGTGATTATAATATTATTTTATTTTGAGATTCTGTTGTGCAAAGATTAAGGGTGAACATGAGTTATTATAAAATTGGACAGCAAAATCCAGTTTTTTTTTTCCTTTCAAATTTTCACTCAAAAAAAGAAAAAAATTAGCCAGGATGTTATAATCTTATCCCAATCGAGATCCAGAGACCTTTGGAATGGGATGAGATACAAAACAAAAATCTCATCCTGTCCCTGCACACTAGAATAGCATCGAGATGGGGCATGAATACCCCTAATTACAATAACAACCTTGTGCTTAATATAATTAAGTTGTAACTCATTTTCATGTAGTATTAGAAATGTATTAAATTATTTTTTAAAATTATGCATGTTAAAGTTTATTTCTCTGTTTTTTTTAAAACCATAAAGCAGTACTTTCATTAAGATCCATAAAGACAAATACAAAGCCCAACAATAACAAAGGTTTGCTGAGACAAGAAAAAGAAAGGCCCAATACCAATATAATCCAAAGAAAACCAAAACGTAAAAACAAACAGAAGGGAAGCAACCGCCATCACCTCAATGGACTCTAGCCCCCAATGTCGAATCGTCGAAAATTGTAGGAAAAGAAGCGCAATCACCAACGACAACGTCATGGTAAAAGATGGGGGTTCGAAGACCCCACCCCGACAGGACCCATCCCTCCTTTTTAGCAAGAACCCAACTAGACTGGTTGAAGAAGAACCACCATGGGAAGACCTCATAGAAGCAAACAACACCTACAGCCAGCAACAGAAAAGACAAAGAAGGATAGAAGAGCTCCTTACCGACAGTCGCCTAGCAAACAAAATGATCATGTACCCTTCGAATTCACTGCCACCAATAACTAATAATGATACTCTGAAAGATGTAGCAATGAAGGAGTAGGACCACTATCATCAAAACCCAACCCCGAAAAACACGAATTGAAGCCACCCTGTGAGATCTCACACCATTGAAGCCCTTGAGTCTGATTATCACCGCAAAGACTAGAAACACGACTATCAAAAACCCAAAGAGACATGGAAAAAGACAAACACCCACACAAAGACGGACAACTAGTCGCTCATCCAACTAACGAGAGGAACTCCAACCGCCTCTAAAGAGTTGAGCGAGAGGGAGGGAGACAAGGCGCTCCAGGTGAATCTTAAGTTAGCATTCAAAGTTTTTCATTTTTAATAGTTAGAGATGTAATTTTAATTTCAAAAATGCCATCTTTTTTTAATAATGATATTAAGGAAATCGATTATGGTTTGTTAATTGAACGGTGGATCATTTATTAATGACGGTATGAAGAGAAATTTTTAATAAACGCATAAAACGAAGGATTTTTTTCCCTTATAAATAAGATGAAAAACACATCTAATTTCTGTTTGAAAAACACAAAAGGAAAGTACATTTTTATCATTTAATTGAACCCCAACTCTTAAAAAATTTAACAAATGTCCCGCGCACTGTCGCGGGGGCTAAAAGCGGGGTAAAAAAATTATTTAAATTAATTATTTTTCATAAATTAAAATTATTATTTCTAAACTATCTTTACTAATTATGTGTATTAAAATAAAAATCTTTTAATATATGTATTGGGAAAATATGAATAAATATAGAAAATAAAATAAATTATAGTCTTATATTTAAAACCAAAACTAATACAATTTTATCTTATGGACCAATATGTTAAATGGTTAACATATAAAGACTAAGTTGCATCAGTCAGAGTTCAGGAACTAAGTAACAATTGATTTTTTTTTTTTGGCCTCCAAGTTACAATTAATTCAAAACTATAAGAATTAAATTATACTGAGCTAAAGTTTAAAACTTAAGTTATACTTGAATCGAAACTACAAGGACAAATTGATTAATTTTCCCTTCTTATATATTCACGAGGTTTAAATTCTAGAACTAGAATAAAAGGAATTGAGTTTCTTTTCTTTTCTTTTTTTTTTTTGCATTCAACCCAACTACTATTGATAAAAAGTTCACATAGTTGGGTTCCGAAGGAGCACCACTAATAGGAGAATGATGAGATAAAACACACTCAAAAAATTGAAAAAAAAAAAAAGAAGAAAAAGATTGGGACAATGCAGCACCATGACCCTTTTCGCGGAATTTTATTATTTAACAACAACCTCAAAATACAAACAGTCTGGCTTTGACCCTGTTTAGGGGGAACTTAACAAACGCTTAAATAGCTCTTATGTGATAAATAAATTTCATTTTTACAAAGCTGAATTAAATTACATATGAACATTTTCACCACTTAAATTAGACAAAAGCATAGAACAAGTGATTATAAATTAAAGAAAAATAACAAGAAACATGCTTTGGAATAGTGGCAAGCTCAACTCTTCATAAATTAAAAGAAGTGAAAAGCAAATCTCATTGAAAGCATTATATGACTGACCGCTGTTCTTCAGTTCATCAGATCCACTTGCCCAATATCCTTGGCCTTGTTATTGAGTTCATAACCATTACTGCCATTATTCATGTCATTTCCATTGTCTATGTTAGCATGCTTGTCTTCTTTGTCATTTGACAGAGAGCATTGACTTTCCTGGACAACATCTCCCATGACTTTGTCCCCATGAGAGGAACTGACAGAAGAGCCACTACTCTTCTTTCGTCGGCCCAGCTTTGGAGATTTCGCACGAGTGGGTGGTGGCTGGTCCAGAAAAGTTTACATTACTTGAATTGCCATCAACACAACAATAAGAGGAAGAAACCTTATCTCACTAAATGGGGTTGGCTATGTGGATTGCACGATGTTATTGTACTCTATTAACAACCAAATTTTTAGATAGGTTGCTAACTAAAAAATCCCATTCAATGAGTTTATTGGGCGTTCTAGTTTATTGTTTATTGCCATCAACACAAGTGAAAAAAAAAAAAAAATCATCCAGATGGATTATAGATCAATCATTCACAAATAATTTGTGCTGTTATAGTTCATTGCTGCTTGAGAGGTTATTACATTTGAATCATGTACATATGACATCATAAGATTATCTCTCATACCTTTTTCAATTCGACCTTTGGTGGAGGCCCCTCGTGGTAAAAGCTTGGCATAGGATTTGCTTTAAACATTAAACTTTTCCTCAGCTGCTTGATGTCTGCTTCTCTCTCTTCCTTGAATGATTTTAAATTCATGAAGACGATAGAGTGAGAATACAGAATTATAAGCCTACTAGGGGAAAAGAATTAAAATGAAAAAAAGAAAAAGGAAATCTAAGCAATACAAAGTAAGAGACAGCTATATATCTTTGTTTTTCAGATGTTTGAGGAGAAAATAATGTACCTTGTTCCTTGCTTCACTTTGACTCTTCTCAGCTTCTAGTGCTTGATGCTTTGCCTCTAATTTTGAATAAAACTATATTCAAGATAGCATGAGTATGCACCAGTCAGGCTCGGCTAGAAAGCTAAATCCAAACATACCAAACTTGTATAAAGATGCTACCTCCTTTCGTTTTTGTGCACGTTCAGTGCACTGAAATACAGGAGCTGAAGCGACAGTTGCCCTAGAATTGAATGATCGCACAGAAGCTGCACTTCTTATGTAGTCAAGGATAAATATCAAATTATCAATTACAAATTCCATGGGAAAGTAGAAGAACCATGACTAGAATGAGAAAAGGCATATGAGACTGATTCTGTCAATCTAACTACAAGGTTTCATAGGATACAGAGAAACAACAGAACAAGTATCATCTTCATCAGGTTGCTTCTTGTTATTAGGTTGCAATGGCTTTCTTAGCGCTGGAGGTGATTCCAACTGCAAATAGCAAGAAGACAGATAAACATTTAACACTAATCATGACTATCTAGTAGTCAGAAAATAAGAGGGTAAATAAATGCATTGGATTAGACAAAGAAAGTGAGGTATAAACTACTTTTACAAATTTACAATCATAAAGCAGTCTCCATAAGATGGTTGTTTCAATGACGGTCTTTTAGACAAAAGCTGTTAATTTTATAGGGATAGGTATCAAAACCATAGGCATAATAAAGTGACGATAAGTTCGTGCTGATATGATTGGATGTCACTGGATCTGTTTCTGTCATACTTCCATGTACATAAAGATATCATCTTGGTTCAAGGAACTGGTAACCTCATCATCAACATTTACCTTATTCTGTTGTAAACTATTTGGAGTGAGCACATTTTTTTTATTTATTAATTTTCTATCATGACCGCCCTGGGTATCTTCAGCAAGAGTACGCATTACGCCAGAGGCACGCTTTTCAGTTGCTAAGGCAAATGGTTGTGGAACCGTGTGCTTCTTTTGAACATTTCCTGTACTTTTACTGTGAGAATTTCCAATGGGAGGTCTTGATCTGTGCTTCACAGCCTTGGTTTTATAGGACTTTGAATTCTTCTCACTTGGGGCACCAACAAAACTCTGGTCCTCACTTTTTTCTATGCAAGACTGATCAGATCTCTTAACAGAATTTTCTGTTGTACACTCCTTCACCTCATATTCCTTGGTGCTCTCCTCTGAACTATGGTGTTCGGTACTCTCAACTATTGGCTCAAATGACTCGGTAATATTGTGATGCTTAGCAACATTTTCATGACCTGCTTCATGTGAAGTTCCATTTGAATAGACTATCACCCGATCGGGCTCCTTGATGATGCAAACATCTGTGTCTTCTACATCCATTGCTCTGTAATAGAGAAATGTCAGGATTGAATGGGCTTCATGTAACCTATGCAAGTTTGATCGTATGAACACAGTATATGCAAGATGACAACATAAACAAATTACAGAATTAAGTGATACAAAAACCATGCCACTGCGAGGGAAAACAAATCACACAGCATTTAAATTCTGATTAAATGTATCTTTTATGTCGCTGTATGAAAAAAAAATAATGGAAATGAAAAAGAAAAAAGACAAAAAAACCTAAAACTGTTAAAATAAGAATGTAAATTTCTATAAAACCGAAGGAGAGAATGGAAGAGCAAAATGAAGTAGTTTAAATCACTTCCTGATTTGTCTTGTCAATATGTCAAATGTAGTAAAATCTTTGATAAAAACAAATGCATAAGGATATCTATCGAGGAAGGACCAGGTCATTACGAATGACAGTAAAAAAGCAGTCATTTGATGGTAACAAAATGAGGCGGTTATGACCTGCAGTTGGAAGCATAGTTAATTCAGCAGCAAAATAAACAGCAGCCATCAAGTATTGACTAAAGAATAAAAAAAATTTAATCAATATTTTTGTAGCAATAAAAATTTGAGTCGGAGCTCCAGAGTTAACGTAGCAGTGCATCTGATTAGCATTAAAAAAAAAAAAAAAAGGTAGTATAATCTTGATATTTTTCTGTTATTAACCATTCTATATCTTTAAAGAGAAGCATGATAACAAAGGACCCAAGAAAGCTTGTAATATCATTGGTTTTTCCCCCCTCTTCCATTGAAATTTCAAAATGGGGTGGTAAGTGTACTAATTAAAGTGACTTGGCCCCCACTTTTTATTAACTTTCGTCAGTATCAAGAATCCAGCTATCGCTTTTCCACAATTCAATAAAATACTGGATCGCGACTTACGTATAAAATAACTCTTGAAAGTTGAAACTGGTTTCCAACCCAAGTATGCCCAAGCGAATTTATTAGTTTAAGAAACTGAACAAGTTCCATGAACAAATCCTTCAATCGTGTCTCACTAAAAGTAGAAGAGAGAGATAAAATATTATATGAAAAGCTAAAGCCATCACAAACTCAGATGGCATTATGAAGCAAATACATACATTGTTTAACATAAACTTTAAGAATACAATAATACTAATATAGTATTCCGAGCGCCAGAGTGGAAAAGCCGCAAGGCGCTCAAAGAATGGCCAAAGATCAGAAATAGAAAGCACTGGAATAATTTATAGAATTATAGACATGTAACTACAACCGAGGTTTTAGAATTTGAATTCCAACATAACAACTCAACTATATCCAAAAAAAAATCATAAAGTCGAGAAAAAAGAAAGACGAGTCTTATATAGCAAGCAAAATTCTCAGATGCGAGGAATCATACCGAGGCGCATTAAAAAACTGCAACAGAAAAAGGATAAAATTCAAATATAAATGAACTAAACATAATTAAAACGGAACTTTCTCAAGCTCGAAATTCACCTTTTAAAATCAATCATATCTGCATTTCATTCTCAAATTCAGTAACATACGAATCATACATTCAAAAAACGACTCAAACTTGAGATACAATAAACGCAGAAGAACAAATTGCAAAGCGAAAATCTAAACAAATACATTACTTCCAAAACTGGATCCGACCGTCCAAAGTTCGATGAGAAAACGCTGTGCAAGAGCTAAAAACGGAGCTCTAAACTTTATCTATGTCTCAAAAAAAAAAAAAAGCACAATCTGCATAATCTTCTTTCATTCACATTTTTCCCAATTAGTCAAACAAAGCTTCATTTCCGGAAGCATTAATCAAAGCCAAAGGTCAAAGACCGAACACAGGAAAACGAGACAGGGACGAGATCGAAATGCGAAATGCAAGCCAGATTCATTAGTCAGCATTTCATGCAAGAATGAAGAAAATGATAATTGAAGAACAGAGAGATTCACCTTGTCGGTCAGATCTGGGAAGGAAGAAATGCGAGATTGCTGTTGTTGTTGTTGTTGTGTTGTGTGTGGCTTATGGAGGTTTCCTCTCTGTGCAATGAATTTTGATGTGAAGAAAGTGAGATGTGTGCCGCGCGTTTGATTTTTCTGTTGGCTTCTTTTATATATATACGCTGTGCCTCGTCGGTCAGACGCCGTTTCTTCACGGAGGGGAATGATTTGAATTTTGGGGTCGGATGGGCCACTTTTTCAAAAGGAAAACAAAAATAGTAAAGCAATAATTAGATACTACATCTTTTATTTTAGTTATCCTTGTGACTAAAAAAAAAAAATTTCACGTAAATACTATTAATAATTTAAAGTTTACATTTGTGTAGGGGTTATAGAAAAATTTATTTATACTTAGGATTGCATTGATGCTATCAACCTTATTATTAGAGATTGTCACAAACTTCATCATTTCATTTCAGAGTTTGTTTGGAATAATTTATAATTATTTTTTTAATTTTAATTCATGAAATATGAGTTAAGAATATGAAAGAAATTTTATCTCAACTGATATAAAAAGTGCTTATATAAGTGATACCAAGTTAGCTAAAATTTTTCTTAATATAGACCAAAATTTTCTCTCCTTAATCACCCTCCCATCTCTTATTCAGGAGGTTGAGACTGACAATGATGAAAGAGGTTAGGTTATTTTCTTAATGTAATTCTTGATTTTGTTTATATTATTATAATAATAATAATTTGAACCTCTAAAATCATGTTATGTTTTTAATATCAAATCAAATCAAATATGATTTTGTTATATAATTAGTAGCGAAAAATATGCCTTCCCCACCTTTTAACTTTATCAAAATTTTATTTCATCTCTTAATTTTAAAATTTTTAAAAATTTTTTTCATTTTTTGAGTTAATCCTAAATATCATTAAACTCAACTCAAAATTACAAAGCAAGTTCAAATCAAGCTATCTTGTCTATCTCCACCTCTCATCTAACAAATGGAGATTGATTAAAAATACAATGTTGTTCTCCATAAATACAAGGATTTTTTATAGTATGAATAATTTGATCAAGTCTCATCATTAAAAGGGTGACTATCATTTTATCCCTTAGCGATCAGGTTACTAGCTTCTCTACAATTAGTATGACTAATAATATCTTTTGAGTCTTTTAGTACCATTATTCTCGAATAATAATTTTTTGTAACAATACTTATTATTGTAGAAATTAAACTTGACATGTTAAAATTTAAAAATATTTTGTCTACATTCAACATTTTAATATCAGCATTTCTTTTGTTAATTACATTAAAGTTAAAGAATTTGTACAAAAATTTTATAAAATGAAAATATTAAAATAAAATTTTTGTGAAGTTAGAGTAATGAAGGTGCACTTTTACCAAATTAGTATGACTCTTGTGCATTTTATGAAATTTAAAAAATAAATTGTATATCATTCACAATTTTGTTTGTAATTTTTATATTATATATAAATATATAATTTTTAAAAAAATAATATTGAAAATTTCATACAGACTATTAATATCTCTTATATATAAATGGAAATGTAGTATCTCTAAAACAATACTCTTCTATATAAGATTGGATAGAGAGATTGAGAGTTTAATTTAATTTTAACTTTAATTTAAAATCAATTGGAAACTTTAAATAAGAGGGAGTAGGTAGTCTCTTTATAGTATGCGTCTTCTTTTTGTTTTGTTTTTATTTATTTATTTATTAACTACAATGTCTGCTTTTTTTTGGGTTATGGATGTCTTTCTTTCTTTTTTTTTTTGATAAAAGTGGCTGTCTTTCTTCAAAAACACTCATGTTGGCTTCTACATATAATAAAAATCAAATACTACATTTTATCCTTAATATAAGAGTTTATTTAACTTTTATTTTGGTTCTAAATATAAAATTCTAATCTATTTTGTCTCTCATATTTATCTATTTTTTTGCAAAATAATTCTGGTAATAATGATAGTTCTAGCCAATATATGTGATTAGCAAGGATATTTTAAAATATATATATTTATCACAAATAACTAATTTAACTAGTTTTCTTAATTTACTTAAATGAGTTAACTAGCTCTTATTACGGACTGAAGATAGTAACATATACACACATATTGTGTTGTGGGATTGTGCCAAAACATTTAGAAACGTACACATAAGGCCAAATGTTCGTATTATATATGATCAAATGTTAGAATGACTCCACCAAATTAATTTCAAGCAGCCATCCAAAGTCCATATCACTCCATCTCATGATGAAAATTTGACAAAATTCACAACTATATTATTGTCAAAACTTCTCTTGCTAACTAATTTACAGAAATTAAAAAATAATTAAATCATTTGCTTTTGATAAATATACTTTTTATAATATTATATTTAATTATTTGCATTAACAACTATTTTCATGAAAAAAATCTCTTAACATGCCCAATCAATAAAATTGTTTGAGAAAAATATTATAAATTTGGGAAAAAAAGTGACTGAGTTATTATTATACTTAGAGTCAAAATAAAGTAATAAACCCTTCAATTAGATTTTATATTTAAGGTTAAAATAGTTTGATTCTATTAACCTTAAAAAAAGAATTAAAGATTTACGATTAATTGTTTGTGAATAATATAACTTAACATAAATTTTATTATCTATCTATCTAATCTATCTTATTATTAATTTATTTGGTTTGGATTCAATAATAAGTAGCACATAAAAAAATCTATTTTAATCATGCCTGAACAACTAATAAGATGGATGAATTATTGGAATAAAAATGACCCAATTTCTTTTTTAGATTATAAACATATATAAACATAGACTTTACTTGTAATTTTGTTTCAATCACAGTTTCAAACCTTCTGAGATTGTCATCAATTGAACAAATTAAAGGTGATAGAAAGATAATTGAGTTTTCTAGAGAAACTTTTAAATCAGGTCCTATTCTTGCCATTCATTAGGCTTCCTCAAATGGTGGACATTAGCTTTTACATCTCTTTATTGAATTCAAAAATCTGATGATTATGAAGTTAAAATATCAATTTGCTCCTCTAATCCTATTTAAAAGATAGAGAGTGAATTTTTTTTTGTTTTTATATAAATCATATTATTAAATTTGTTATATGAATATATAATTTTATCCTCAATTTATTGCTTTGTAGACTGTTATTTTCCGAAAAAGTATATATATTAAATAGGAATAAAGTTAATAAATTATTAAATTTTCAGATAGATTTAATGAGATTTAAGATTTTTATTAATTTTGATAAAATATATTAAAAGTATTTTATAAATAAGATCAGATGAGTAACATTCAATAAATTAATTAAGTTGTAATTTTCATAAAATAAGTTGTAACTTTGTAAAACGTATAGAATAATGATTAATCATTAGAAATTTCTTTCTTTAAAGATTAATTTTATTTTTAAACTTTGAATTTCAAAAAAAACAATTATTCCTTTTTTCTGCCAACATAAAAAAAGTTATTCTAAATTCTTAGATTGATATTATGAAAATTGATAAAGGCTAAGGTAGACACCTAGAAACTTTGAATTTTGTGGAGCTGAGAATGATATAATCAGAAGAGTTGACATGAGGGTCCCACAATATATTATTAGTTGAAGAAGAAATGTTCCCTTCTATCCAGCTAAGCATTATTATTATTATTATTTAAATTAATAATTAATTTGAAAGCTTCAGCCACTACAATTTTGGAGGTATTCCACAATGATAAAGATGATGATGGCGGTCATGTCTTCGCATAAAAGCAAGCTAAGACAAGACGTCTTATCTAAATTTTTGCTTAGACTTCATTCTTCGCTTTTCTTGATTAATCCTTTGATAAAGCCCTAACACCCTTCTCTTAATTAAGTAATTAGTTAATTAATAAATATATGCTAAACAGCCCCTTGAACTTATAACAAAGTATATTATTTGTAAGTTATGACATCTTGTCTCATTAATTAAACATCATATCCATATATATATATATATTAATAATTGAGGTATTATAGTGATAAGAAATTAACTTCTTTAAAAGAAGGTGTTAAACTTGAATTTTGATTTGGTAAAAATAAAACACTTGGAATTTTACGAATGAAAAAAAATTATAATAAAATATAACTCAATGCACATAGTAGGAAAAATAGATAGCATACTGATGATTCATTAAAGCAAAACACTTTCTGATGAACGGAACTAGTTGGATCTAACTAAAGAAGTTAATATCTTATAATATGATAAATTAAAATTTGAATTCCTACTGAAAAATATGTTTATATTTAGTATCCAATCGTATTTTGAGTAAAATCGTCTCCAATAGAAAAATACAAATGATATATAATTCCTATAAAATATTTATTAAAAAAAAACTCAGATCACTATGGCCTTGCCATTCTCCTCTTCTCACTTACCCCGACTATGCATCATACGAAGTTTATGGTAAATGATACTATTCATAGTTTAAAAATAGTGCACATTGCAATAAATTTTATATTTAAATAGATGTGAATCTAATTTATTACAGGGAGTTTGAAAAATGAGTCATACCCTCCATAATTTATAATAGAGCGGTTGGTAATGAAACATTATTTATGCATTTTAATGCATTAATAGAGTTACACTTTTTTTTTTTTTAGAATTTTGTTTAAAAAGTGTTAGATTTGGATATGATGTTTTCCAGTCAGTCTAATTTGCTAGAATTGGGTTGAGCGTGACTAAACTGTCACACTAAATTGGACATTTGAGTAGCCATGTTGGCCAATTTCAGTCAAAGCTTATCAATTGTTAATTAAGTTTTTATAAGAATTTTACTCATTAAAAATAAAATAACTTTATTTAGGTATAAATTAATTTCTTAATAATTATATTTTAAAATTTTTATCTAGTTTTAAAATACAAACCACTACGTACCGCTCAGAGCTTGATGTAAAATCGAAAGTTTATCCAACTACCTATGTGTATGTATCACAAAAAACTTCTGGCAAAAAAAGTGTATCACAAAGAAAAACTGACAAAATTCAAGTCAAAATCAAAAGCTATTAGATCTACTAGAGGGTGTTTGGTAACCTCGAAAAGTGTTTCGAAGAAGCACTTCTC